TCCAGTACATATTCAGACCAGATGGTGGATCAGCACCTAGAGAGAACCTCTACAGCCCTGAAAAACAGCGGAGACCAGGACAACTAGATGAACCCCAGATACAGATCCCCTGTAAAGACCTTGTCTCAGACGACCACCGGGACAAGACCACAGGAACCAGATGATTCCTCTGCACAATGTGACTTTGCTAGCCTGAAATTGAACTGCTGGTTTTGTCTGGTCAGAGGAGAACTGGCCCCCCGACTGAGCCTGGTTTCTCCCAAGGTTTTTTCTGCATTCTGTCACCGATGGAGTTTTGGTTCCTTGCCGCTGTCGCCTCTGGCTTGCTTAGTTGGGGACACTTCATTTCCAGCGATATCGTTGACTTGATTGCACAGATACTATTTAAACTGAACTGAGCTGGATGATGACATCACTGAATTCAATGATGAACTGCCTTTAACTGAAAAATTAGTGTTTACTATTGTCATTTTTGCATTATTGACACACTATTTTCCTAATTAATGCTGTTCAGTTGCTTTGACACAATCTGCATTGTTAAAAGCGCTATATAAATAAAGGTGACTTGACTTGACTCAACAGTGGTGACAATAATCATTCATACTGCAGTGCATGATGGGAGTTTTTACTATGGTGTTACCCAGCATTCATTGCAGCATTAAACATTTTGTTGATTGTCACCATTGTTGAGATTCATATGCTGGTTCTTGATGTCTGTGTGTGTCTAATTAGTACTGGCATAAGTATTGCATAGATTTAAAATACAATTAGAGCAGCACTTTATTTGCATGCTGTAGTTTCACAGGACTGATTGTACAAAGCCTAAACAGAAAAAGAACATTATCTTCATTCTAATCAGGCCAGCTCATGATGACTTTCTCATGCCAGAAGTCAAGGGTCAAAAACCCAACTAAAGCAAACACTGATCTCCATGATGGTGGCATCATTTTAATCAATAAAACATCAACATCTGATTTAGAACAACTCGAGGTTGAGTAAATGATAAATGTTAATTTTTGAGTGAACGATCCCTTAAAGCCAGGTACTGTGATTGTATTGAATAAAAATACCATTGTACTGCGACTGGAACACCATGGTGCCACAAAGTACATTTGCTACTTTTTTGTAATACTTTTTGTAAATAGGGGGTGGAGAATTGATCAGTTTCTCCTGAGCATCAGACTGACTTCAGTGTTATGTTTTGCAGATGATGAGCATGAGACCATGAGACCGCACAAACAGAGCCATTGCAGCTGCCCCTTCAGTACAGTGATGCCTGCACTCAGTGGGAGGTCCAGACATCGACAGACCACACTTATGCCTCAGGGGATAAAATAATGTTACACAAGTCAACACAGTTCCACAGTGAAGGTCCCTTAGCCCTTGCCATTCTTAATTTTATAATTCCACAAGACCCGTCTACTCCAAACAACAAAATTAAATAATTAAAGGGGTCATAGGATGCCCATTTTCCACAAGTTGATATGATTCTTTAGCGTTTTAATGAAAAGTCTGTAACATAGTTTGGTTCAAATTTGTCAATGGTAGTGTAAAAAAATAGCTCTTTTCAGATCAAGCTGACTTTGTAGCATTTTCCTTTAAATGGTAATGAGCTCTGCTGACCCCGCCCCTCTCTTCCGAGCTGCGCTCAGAGAGACTGTTTACTTTAGCCGCATTCATCGTGAAACTTAGGAAAGACGATTTGCAAAGATTCATTACAAAACATTATACTCACTTCTTCTGTACATGAGGCTGGATCATGAATGATTTGCGCGAACATAGACATGTAGATCGGGGGCACATTCCCTTCAGAAACAATGTAATCCACTGCGTCTTCAGTGGCTCAGATGTCGGGAGTAAATGATGACTGCTATGTTCATTATTACATCCAACAACAGAACACCTCAATCGCTTAGGAGTCATTATTGTCTACATCTGCTCCGGCGGTGTAACAATGGCAGACAGATGACAGCTCACTCAGGGCGGGTCTAAGATAAGACACCAGTCCAGTCTGTGCTGAAACGCTACTGTCAATCAAACTATCGTGGGAGGGGCCTGTCTGTGTGACGTCACACAGACAGGGATCTGAGATCAGCTCGATTTGAGAAAGGGGAAAACATTTAACGAGATAAAAAAAAACACTCCCTCCCACCATATCGCTCCTATGCTCCTTACCTTTCCTGGCTAGTGAAACGTAAGTTTAACATATTATAAGGAAATACGTCATCGTATTTACTTCCTTGTTGCAAAATAAGGTGGATAGGGATTTCCTGAATTTCTTCTGCGAAGGCCAGAGCCCTTTGGATGGAGATTTACTACTGATCACAGAAAAGTGCTTCACTGACAAGATGTGCATGACAATCGCAACTTTTGCTTAATCGCGATTGCGATTTCATTTTGATTTATCGTGCAGCCCTAAGTCAGACACAAATCAACATTATGACCGACTGGCTGTACATCACCCTTTATGTGTTTTTATTACCTCAGTATCTGCAGCTGACAGTTTGGACTCTTCAGTCCTTCAGAGAGCAGCTTCACTCCTGAATCCTGCAGGTCATTGTTACTCAGATCCAGCTCTCTCAGGACAGAGTTTGAGGATTGTAGAGCTGATGACACAATTTCACAATCCTGAGCAATGAGATTACAGTCAGCAAAACTGGAAGAGAGTGAAACATGATAATTAAATTATTAACCTTGTATTTCAATAATGTCAGCTTAATTATTGTAAATTCAAATGAATTGATTATGACTAAACACTCACAGGGCTTTTGTGCAGTTGCTCACAGCTGGTATCAGTCTTCTTCTCCCCTCATCTGATGTGTTGTATTTCTTGAGGTTCAGCTCATCCAGCCCCTCCTCTAACATCTGAAGCATGTAGGCGATTGTTGAGCAGTGAGCAGGAGAGAGTTTCTTCTCTGAGTGTTTGTCTGATTTCACAAACTCCTGAATCTCTCTGAACAGAGTCTGATCTTTCACTTCCAGCAGACAGAGGAACAGATTGATTGATCTTTCAGTGGAGAGTCCATGTCCATCTTTAATCTTCTCTTTAATGTACTGTGTGGTTCTCCTGATGCTCTCTGAGCTGTTCTCTGTCTGTGTCAGTAGATCCTGTAAGAGTCTCTGATTGGACTCCAGTGAGACACCCAGCAGGAACCGCAGGAACAGATCCAGGTGTCCATTCTCACTCTCAAGGGCTTTATCTACTGCATCTCTATGCAGATGATGTACCACATCGCAAAACTGCAATGTATCAGTATGTTTCATTACATAATGGTAAAATGCATAAAAAGCAGCGAGAAACTCCTGAATGCTCATATGAATGAAGCTGTAGACTTTTCTTTGACGAATCACAGATTCCTCCTTAAATATCTCAGTGTAAATCCCAGAATACACTGAGGCATCAGTGACGTCTATGCTGCTCTCAATCAGGTCCTCCTCATAGAACATCACATTGCCCTTCATCAGCTGTTTGAAAGC